CCCGGTGCCCGCGGCCTCCGCGAGGCTCCGTCCCCGGCCGGGACCCGGTGCGCGGTGCCGGTTGCCCGGCGCTCGGTTCCCCTGCGCGTTACCCGAGGCTGGGTTCCCAGCACCCTATCCCCGGTGCTCGGTTCCCCTGCCCGTTACCTGATGCTCGGTTCCCGGTCCCCAATTCCCGGGGCCCGGTTCCCACTGCCCGTTACCCGRTGCTCGGTTCCCGTTTCCCCGTTACCCGGTGCACCGTGCTCGCCTCCCGATCCGCGTTTCCCGGTGCTCGGTGCTCGGTTCGCGGTCCCCGCTCCGGCTCGCGGCTCGCGGCTCCCGGTGCCGCTCCCCTCTSGCTCCGCCAGGGGGCGCAGCCGCCGCAGGGGCGGGGGGCGGGGCCCAATTCGAATTCTCCCTCCCGTGCGTCACAAAGGCCGCGCCGCCGCCCGCCGCGCTCATTGGCCGCCTCTCCCGTCCAGCCCCGCCCCCGCGCGCTCCCATTGGCCCGCAGCGGAGGGCGGGGCTAGCTCAGAGGGGCCGCGGCGGAAGCGTGTGCGCCGCCGCCGCGGGTCCCCCGGGAGCGGCTTCCGGCGCGGCAGCAGCATGGCCGCCGTGCCGCCCGACTCCTGGCAGCCGCCCACCGTCTCCTTGGAGACCACGTAAGGGGGGTTCCGGTCCGGGTCCCGGTTCCGGTCCRGGTCCTGGTCCCGGTTCCCGTGCGGCTCTTCCGTCCCCTTCCCCGCTCCCCCGGTACCGGGTCCTCGGCCGGGCGGTCCCTCGCTTCCCTCCTCCCACGGCTCCTCCCTTCCCGGTACCGGCTGCTCCTCGCTCCCCCCTTCCCGCTCTCTGGTACCGGCCTCTTTTCCCCCCGCCCCGGTACCAGCTGCTCCCCGGTCCCGCCCCCCGGGCACCGGGGCATCCCCGGCGCCGCCTCGGTGCCGCCTCGCTCCCCCGCTCCGGTACCGGCAACGCCAGTGTCCAGCCGGTACCAGAGAGCCCCGGGCGCCCTTTGACCTCCGCTGCTGGTGCCGGGACATCCCCGTGTCCCCCGTCTCCAAATCCCGGGAGATCCCCGTGTCCCCCTGTTCCTGGGACTTCCCCACATCCCTCCCAGGTCCTGGAGATCCCCGTGTCCCCCCATTCCCAGGAGATTCCCATGTCCCCCTGTTCCTGGGGATCCCAGTATCCGCCCTGTTCCCGGGGAATCCCGATATCTGCCCTGTTCCCGGGGATCCCGGTGTCGCCCCCATTCCTGTGGATCCCCGTGTCTCCCCATTCCYGGGTATCCCCATGYCCCCCTGTTCCCAGGGATCCTTGTGTCCCCTCATTCCCAGGAGATCCCCATGATTCCTGGGGGATCCCCAAGGCCCCCCCGTTCCCAGGGATCACTGTGTCTGTCCCGTTCTCAGGAGATCCCCACATCCCTCCCCATTCCCGGGTATCCCCGTGTCCCCTGTTCCCAAGGATCCGGGTGTCCACCCCATTCCTGGGGATCCTGGTGTCCCCCTCCTTTCCTGGGAGATTCCCATGTTCCCCCTGTTCCTGAAGATCCTGGTGTCCCTCCATTCCCGGATATCCCCATTTCCCCCCCCCACTCCTGGTATCCCCGTGTCCCCCCCATTCCCGGTATCCCCATGCCCCCCT